GTGTTAGCATCAGGCAGCACAGTTTTCTGCCATTTGGTCGTAAGGTCACAGTTTTAATGTTATGGCTTAGCTGAAAAAAAGAAAGTGACCATAAAGATAAATCCAATTTTAAAAGGCCAAAATACTTACAAATTCAAACAAAATACTTAAAATAGAGAGGGTAAGAGACACTCGCACCAAAATACTCCTTGCTCCACTTCAAGCAAATATTAAACCTCACAGAATTAATGCAGTCTGTGACCTTGGCATCTGACAGAACTGAAAAGACAGTATCACTATCACTCAACAGTCCCTATGCTCCTGGTAAGCTTTCTGAAACTTGCTTTCCTATTGAGTGTGGCATTTCCGAACATAAAGGAAAAACAACTTCATAAAGTCCCATTTTGCTAAAACTTCCACATCAAGTTTGAAATATAATTTCAGATGGGGAAAGTTTCAAACGTTAAATACAAACTTCTACTCACTTCACAATTTTCTCTCAGAGAAGACAGATTTGACACAGCTTAAAAAATTTGCTGAGGCAGAAGTCAGTAAGAAACGTGCTTAGTCTTTATGCAACATTATAACAATTAAGTGGTGTCAAAATTTTCAGGATTATGGACGAGCAAAAGAATAATTTTAGTAAGAATTCGTTCTCCCTAATGATGCCACTGCTACTTTATTATAACTGTACTTAATTGTTACTTCATGTTAAGTCATCTCTAAGAACTGGCTGTTGGGTAAAGGTTCTACTATTTACACAGGTTGAGGATAACTCAAAAAGAGCAAGATAGTACAAGACGTCCCATTGTCCACCAGTGCGATTTCTTTTTTTTCCATAAGATCTCTAGCTTCTTGGAAAACCAACCTAGACACAACAGGAGCTTGTAAGAGAGACTGATAAGCCACCTGAATCAGAAACTAAGGATTGGTTTTGCTGGGAACATTACACTTTGTGCTCAATCCTTGTATTTTGAGTTGGTTTTTTTTGGGGGGGGCGTTGGGGGTTTGTTTGAGTTTTTTTTAAATATAAGCTAAAAAATGTCTTCGAAGACCTAAGAATTGAATAACGGACTCCAAGTTTTTCACCCTCTCTTAAAATATGGAGCCCAGTGCAAAGGTATTACAGTTACTTCACCATCTCAGTGCAAAACAATCCGTTTCAACTCAAAATGCTGGCATGAGAGGACTCCACCCCTACTCTCCATGCACCTGTTATGACTCAGTCAGTGTCACAAAGTCTTGGGAGGTGGGGTAAACAGTATTTCTCTTAATACAGATCTAGCATCTCAGACAATTTAGTCAAAGCTCTGAAACGTTATTAAAACATATCATCTGACATAAGAAAGTTGATGACACACCAGTCACTGCAGAAAGAAATATAACCCTGGATCCATCCAAATGTTCCATTACAGAAAACTAAGAAAAAAGGCAGGGAAATCACCCACAGTTCTCCCAGAGCAACTTGTCAAAAAATAGGGAATGCTACTTCTAAAGCAAGATTATCAGGAATTTGTCACATCTGAAGTGCGCGTTGACAGCCTGGGGCCAGCTCACACAAACTACACGAGCCTGCGGCACAGGGGGCAGGCAGCTCTCCCTGCCTGCTGCTGGCTCCCAGCAGTGCTCTTGTGCCAGTGCCCATGTGGCTGATGGATGAACGGTACCAGTAAGCAAATCCTGATGAACAATAACCACCATCAAAACAAAAACAATTGGTCTAATGATGCATCATTTCCTCCTCTTCCTTTGCTGCAGTCTTGGCCGCACGGTGCCCTATCACCCCCTCCACTAGATCCTGCACCCAGTCCTTTCCCCAAATTCACATGAAAACCCTCCACCGAGCTCACAAAGAGATCTGACAAGTGCCAGAGACAGCAGATGTGAGAAAACTTGCCCCTCTAGGCCATCTGTAGGCCGTCTGTTCTGTAGGCTCATCCTCCCCCCGGAACCACCCTTCCAGTCACTGTCACACCGCATCACTCATCCAGACAGAAAGGAGTATGTGAGAACAAGCATTCAGGGAATGCATGAGTGGCAGAAGAGACCACCCTCCTCAGGAGTAACATGGTCCATCATTGGATTAAATAAAACTTGTGGCCATAGCATCACACAGGCAGATGATTCTTTTCAGGAGAAGGCAGATGATTCTTTTCAAGTCTCTAGGAACACAGGTGGGGACTATCCCCAGCTAATGATTTCCTCACGCCTTGATTTCGAGGTAACACGGGCCTCCAGATTCTTTGCTGAGACTTTGCAGCACACTAAGGCAGCAAAACCTAATCTTTCAAAAATAAAGTGAACTTTCTCCACAGCATCCACACACAGAAATAAATGGCTCAGAGAAAGGCTTGGTGAACTGATAAAAACTACTGATAAAAAACAACAGTGGTACGAAAAAGCAGAAGCCAACATTTAGATCAGTTGAGGCAAAGTCGGTAAGACAGGATTTTTTTTTTTTATTCCAACTGCTCTTGTATCCTTTACATATTTTTAAAACATTATATATTTCTTAGAGAAAAAAACACTTCTCTTTTGGTTTGGGGCATTTTTTCAGAGAAGCTAAGAAGCCTGAACCAAAAATAACTATAGAATGAGAAAAATTTAGGCTAAATATTTCAAGAGAACCTTTAACAGTGATCTGTATCTGCATTTAAAACCGAAAACAGTAACAACCACTGTTCAGCAGAGCCTTGTATAAATAAGCGACAGGTTACCAGTGTGTTAACAACATTACACTTCAGTTGGGAAAACAGCGAGTACAAAGTGTTCAGGATCTTCACCTCTAGATAAGGCAAATGTGCCAGTAACAGAAAGGTTACAGGTTCCAAAAATCTGAAACATGATCCACAATGCTGTATACTTTAGTAACTTTTCTTTGCCTTTTTGGTTCTTCCCATTCCATAGTATCTTGATGCCGATCTTGGCAGATCCTTTAACAATACTTGTAAATAATTTACTGGATACCTATACAAAGGGATTAGTGTTCAGGAAACGAGGAACAAGAAAGAGTGACAGAGGGAAGTTTGTGTGACACTTAATAGCCTTGAAGAGGACAGCTGTTCACAAGAGAGCACAATCCACACACTGTTAAAACAAAAGCCTTAATATTTGGCATACCTGAAACGTCTTTGGAATTCCTCCAACATTGTAGTGAACTACTAAACTCACTTTGTTGTCCTTCTCCACAATTTCAAAGCTCCCTTCTTTCCATTTTGTAATCCCAGTCTGCATGCTGCGCATCCGGACAGGTCCGTGCACCTTTAACAGAGCCATGCTTTCTCACAGAAAAGAGCTAACAAGAACAGCCGTGCTCCACCTGAAAAACCTGCTAAGAAGGAGAAACGTATAACTCGGCAGGCCAAACAGTGGCTAAAGGGAGACAGAAGCGTGGCTTGAACTTTCCACAGAAGTTTGATAAAACCGTTTTACTGCCACTTTTAAACATAACGAAGAAGAGCTGGACAGCAGTGAAGGGAACTTAGATTAAAAAAATCTCTCCCCGTCTGGGCAGCAACGCACTGATTCCGCATTGCTGAAAGCTGAGCAGACACAATTCCAATCACAACAGTCTTCGAAAATCCTTAAAACAACGCTAGCGGATTTAAGGAAAGGAAAAGAAAGCGCCCCAAAAAAGTCGGTAAGAAATGGGAACCAAAGCTTCGGAGGAAGCGCAAGAGGGAGAAGGAGCTCCTTTCGGACGGCGCGGCACCCACGGGCACCCGGCGGTGGATCTCCGGCTCCTCCCGCTTCCCGCCCGTGAAAGCCCTGGTGCGAGATACAGCCCCGCAGGTCCCAGGCAGCTCGGCGGGGCGCATTCCCGACAAAACCCCGACGGAATGAATGGAGTGGACCCCGCGCTCAGCCAGGGTGGCGCTACCGGGGAGGTTCCCCGGGGCATCCCGCGATCGGCCCGGCCTGGCCCGGCGGCGGCCCCGCTCCCCCGTGGAGTGGGTCCCACTTCCCTCCCGCCGCCCGCCCGCCCGCGCGGGGGACACGGGGAGCGCCGCCCAGGCCGGGCCGGGCCGCTCTGAGAGGAGGCGGCACCGCGGGGCGGGAGAGGCGCGCAGCCAGCAGGAGCGGTAAAAAGTAGGAGAAGGAGGAGGCGGCGGCGAGGGGAGTTCTTGGTACCTGCAGTCCCGGCGGGTCCCGGGGTAAGGCCCGGGGGGGGCGGGGCCTGGCGGCGGATGGCGGGAACCGGCTGCGGCGGCAGCGCGAGACGCCGCGCGACGCGCGCCCGCTCACGTCAGCGCGGCGGCGCCTTCCCGGCGCGCCCTGCGCGCGCGCCCGCGGCTCGCGCAGGCGCTGTCCCGCCTCCCCGTTCCCAGCGTGCCCCGCGCGGAGGGTGAAGGGTCGCGGCGGCTCCGGGTCCATGATGGCTGCGGCGGCCTGAGGGGGTACCGGCACCGCGCCCACACACCGACCATGCACAGCCTGGCCACGGCCGCGGTGAGCCGGCGGGACGGCGCTGGGGAGGGGCCCCCGTTGCGCGGGGAGCGGGGACGCGGCCGCTCGTCGCTGCGAGGGGCCATTCCCTTTCCCTCGGCCGGAGCGCGGTGGGCAGACTTGGGCCCGCGGGGCGGCGGAGCCCTGGTGAGCTCCGTCCCTGCGGATGTCTTTGGCGGCAGCCTCGCTCCGGCCGCTCCTCCGGGGCTGCTCCGGGCCAGGCTGTGCTGCTCGTGGGGCGGCGTGGCTCGTCCAAGGGCCCCGAGGGTTTCCCCGCTGGGTGTCCCGGCTCTGCGTCCTCCGCCTGGTGTGCATCGCGTAGGGCTTTCCCCCCCTCCCTGCGTCTGGGTGCCTCCTGTCGCGAATGACTGTTTTGATGTCACTTTAAAGAATCGCCAGCAAAAGTATCGACAAAAGCAGGTTTAATGTAAAAGCAGAAGTGCGACAGAGTTCGTTGGCAAGGTTTGCTCTACTGCTCACTAGCTGGTTAAAGTACAGGGAGAAAAAGCAAACAAAAATCTAAAATCAATCAACCTACAACCAAAAATTAACCGGAAAAATTATTCCAGGGGGGTTGGGCGAGGAAGAAAAGGGTAAGAATAAGGATGATAAGGAAGACCCTCACAAGGTTCAGAGTAGACCCTCTTCTTCAAGTGACCTTAAAACACTCATTCATGACACCTCCTGCATGCCCACCCACCTTTTGTGCCCTCTGGGGAGCTGTTTTACTTCTGGCCTTGACTGCAGAGGGAAAGAGGAGGTAAGGAAAAGACTCTTAGGGCAGCAGACGGGCAGGAGGAAAGGCAGAGGCTGCCTGTTCCTGCTTCCCTTTTCCCCCAGTACTGTTCAGTGCAGTGCTGTCTGTATGTGGTGCTTGCTCTTATCCCCTTCTGGAAACTCCTGAGGTGGGATGTGGTGCGTGATGTTCAGACTGGTGGGAGTGGGATTGTGTCTTGGCCTGGGTGGGTTCAAAAATGGAAGCTGAGTTTAAAGGATGTGATTATTGTCTCGGATCTCCCACCAGAGTGGGTTTGTGGTTTGGTTTTCACTTCTCCAAATGCACCTTCATGGTGTGTGTGAGTCTTCCTAGAGCTGATTGAGTCTTGTGTATGTTGGGTGTGGGAGGTGTATTGCAAAACCAGCAGTTAGAGCTGCTTCAAATGAACTTAGCTCAAAGGTCTGCTTGGACTAACAAGCTAATGAGTGAGTCAAGTTCCGATGAGCAGGAGTTGAGAGAACTTTTTAAGTTTTCCCACTTTGTTCAAGTGCTCGTGACTTTAGCTGGTTCCTGGAGTGCTGGCAAATATTCTGGTTTAAAGTATTGCATTCCAGAGCACAGAAGGGTGTGCAAGATCACAGTGAACTCTCTTAATGAGCATTCACATTTTTATAGCAATCTAATTCCTAAGTGTTTGTTGAAATGCACGAAGGACCCCCATTATATGTATCTCCTATTAATCCACTGTATGTATTCTAGCCACCTCTCTTTTTTTAAGACAGTTTTAAGAAAAAAATTTGCTTCGGGAATAGAGATCAACTTTATTTCAGGACTCACTTGAATGCATGTTTAATTTATACAGAGGTTGTGCTACCAGGTAGTTCTGTATTTAAATGTTTCCTACCACAGTTAGTTAATATGGTTAGACTAAAGGTGACAGGAAAGGGAGTTTGGCTCTGGAAATGTGCTCATGACCTGTGGTAAATAACATTACCTCTTAGTAGGGCCATGAATTGGCTCAGGAATCCCTTCAGGGGTGTGAACACTCTTGTGATAAAGCTGTGGTGAGCCAGAGCATTGGTGATGGCATAGCTGACACTTCTGTTTCAGACCTGGAGACGTAATAGAGTGCTTGAGAACAAGCTACAAATAGCTGTAAGGCATTGAAAGCCCAGATCAAATCACCTGATTTGCTGCTATGGAAGTTCAAAGTTCATTTTGGTATTTTTAAGCAGATGATCTGTCAAAATAGTTGAATAAGCACATGTATCCAGTTAGTCAACATTCTGCTTTGGCTGACCAGTACTTCTACCAGTGTGTGTAGCACCAACTGCTCAGTTAGGAAGAAAAAGCCATTTGTGTAAATCTGTTTGTTATGTGATTGTTGGAGGTGTAATCAGGCATGGATGTTTGAGGTAATGTTTTTTCTCCTGAGGAAGGTGTTACAAGATCTTTCATAGTGTGCAGGGATGGCGAATTTCTGCCGTGATACTGTTGGTAAGTTCCACTTTCCCTGTGTTCAAAAGAAAGTCTGCCTGACAGGGTTCTGTCTTGGAGCTCGCAGGATTTGCGTGGCCCTCAGGGTTTGCCAGAATTTTGGGTCTTAGAAGAAGAAGGAACAGCAATAAAGTAGGAAATTAGGAAAAATATGTTTTTCTGTTTGAACTAAAGTGAAAGGAGCAACCATAGAGCCTGTGAAAAGCAGTTTGTTCTGGCTAAGGCAGATATTGGACATCATAAACTTAATTGTGTGGAAAATCTACTTAGTGTTCTCTAGGGATCACAAGCACATGATTGTGCTTGTAAAGGACCAATGTATTTAAGCTTACAGGAACTGAAACTTCCAGTGAGTCTAGAAAAATAGATGGAAGCTTTAGATAATGCAAGTATAACAACATTATTGTACACTGCTTGTCACTGCAGCATCCCAAATAAAAACAAATTATCTCTGTTGATTCTTCTTCTCTTTTTCAGCTTCACTGTAGAAGTTGCCATTGCAATTGCACTCACAGCTGTAAGGGCACAATAAACTTTTCAGGATTATTAATTTAGTGTGAGATGTTGCAAAAAAAAAAAATTAAAATAGAGTAGGTGAGTGTCCTGGTTCTGGCCAGGACAGGGTTAATTTTTGCAGTAGCCTGGAGGCAGAGGGGGGAATGAGTAAGGCTTGCGGCTCAGTGGAGGCACTACATTGGAGAATACCATTCCTAAACCACAACAGTGAGGAAAAAAGAGGATAGGAGAAAAGATAAACATCTAAAAAAGTATTTGAACCCTTGAGTACAGGGATTGATAACACTACATTGGCTTATATATAAACATTTATGTTAAATAATATGATGAAAATGGCTGGGGGAGAGAGATGTCCCATAGCTGGGGAGGAATCTGTGTGGACATGACTATGGCTATAAAATGGGGATGAACAGAGGAGGGAAAACCTTCACAGAAATAGAAACAGAAAGCTCTGCCAGTGTCTGCCAAAGCTTAAGTCTCTCTCCATCCCTCTGGTAGTTCTGGTACTGCCTCTGCCATGTGGCTTCAGGCTTGGTTCCAGCCACTTTCAGTTCCTGAACTGCCTTGTATTCTCTTGTGTCTCTTGGTGATAGCTGCTTGGTGGTAGCGTTGCTGTCAGTGCAGTACAGGCTCTGCTCACATCTGTTGTGGTGAGCGCCTGAAGAGTTTCAGTTAAAAAACAAAGAAGGAAACACAGTCCTGTTCCCAGCTGGGAAATGCAGGGCTGGTGGCATGAGGGCTGGCTCAGGAGCACCAGTGAGACAAACTTTCACTGGAAGGCTTAATCATGATGTTCTCCACAGAAACTATGATACAGTCTCTCTTTTCCTCCCTCATTTTTTTGTTTTGAGAACTTGTTGACCTGGATTCTGTTCTTTCCCTGATATTCCAAGAGAGGCAGAAGAGAACTTCTGGATTTCTCCTGAGTAGTAGAAAATGGGTCTTGACTATGAATACTGATCTACCCTTCTCGGGGTTTATTTTGAACAGTAATCAAATCACCCTGAGATCCTGCACAAAATCATTCTTGAAAAATTCCCTTTTAGCTCCATGCATGTGGACAAAGTACCTGGGATGAATATGAACCATTGAAAACAGCAGGTGTTACTGGCTGTGGCCCATGTCATGCTGGTGTTGGAGTAGTGAGAATTTTTCTATTATTTGTATGAATATTTTTCTCATGTACACTGGGTGAATCCCATTGGCAGTTTCCAATGTCATGGGTGTTTTTGGAGGGGAAAAAGGTAGCATCTGCTTTACTTTGAATTTGTGGAATCTTGCTCTTGAAGCATGAAATGAATGCGTGCTAAATGCAGGTGGAACAAATGATAGCTGGCTGGAGTGTGTGTCACTCCCTGGGAGCTCTGCTGGCACAGGCAGGCAGTAGCTTGGCTCTCACATTGCTGAATGAAGTTACGAGGTACTGCTTGACAAGTGGATTAAGAGAGACTGTCTCAACAAGTCAGGCCAGAAAGTAAAGCCTTTGCATTTTCAATAGGTGAAGTGATAACGCTAATCTAAGGAAGGGGTGGATCCATGTCCAGGGCACCTTGAAGGAGCTTTAGTTCTCACCCCTTCACTCAGGAGTTTCTTGAGCACTTTTTGGCCATTCTGACAGGTTGTGGAAAGGGTTTGGTTGAGAAGTGGATAAAATGTTTGGACTGAAGTTTTCTTGTCTCCCTCCCAGCCTGTGCCAACAGCACTGGCTCAGGTTGACCGTGAAAAGATTTACCAATGGATCAATGAGCTGTCCAGCCCTGAGACACGGGAGAACGCGCTGCTGGAGCTGAGCAAGAAGCGCGAGTCTGTGCCTGACCTTGCCCCGATGCTGTGGCACTCGTTTGGCACCATCGCAGCACTCCTTCAGGTGGGTCAGACTGCCTGTGGTGCAGCACCAGCATGTGTCAGAGCCTGTGTGTCCATGGTGGGGATCTGGGGAGGCACTGGTGGGATCCCTTACTGCCATTGCTGGGAATATGATCTATGTTAGATCATGTGAGGAGAGCAGATGTGGGAAGCTCATTTGCCGTTAATCATCATTATCAAGGTGACATGTGAGACTGATATTTCTAATTAGACAGCTTACATAGTTGGTAGGAGAACAGGAAAGTTCTTGGATGTATGAGCTCCCTGTGGATCCCATTCTGCTTATTTTGGTATGATGTCATAGCAGAACCACAGCAGTCTTTCTCCTAAGACTGCAGGTTTGATTTCTTTTGCATGAGTGTACTTTCTGGTCAGAAGGTTGCCCTTGCAGGGACCCCTTGGGAAGGCAGCAGGGAAATGCTGCTCACTGCTGCAGATACCCTTGCAAGGGAAGGTACCTGCATTTCATGTGAAACTGAGCAGCTCAGCTTATTGCTGGGCAAACACTCTGCAGGTGATGACTGGCTATCACTCAATGCCAAATCTGGTGGTTTCCTTCCAAGGAGGAAAGAGTGCAGCATTGGCAATGTTAAACTCTTGACTGAGTAGCCCTGACAAGCAAAGAAAATTATAAGGGAGCTATAGCTGGAAGCAGGCAGATTTCTGAATTGGATTTCTCAGCCTCAGCTGCTTCCCCTGCATTGAGTTAGAAGAGTACCAGCAGCTACACTGTGAGCAGAGTGGGTGTCCTCTGCCTCTAGGATGCCTCTTTGATCTGGAAGTTCAAAACAGATTCTACAGTAGTAAAAGAGCCAAGAAATCAAATGAACCCTCTTTTACTGAAACTAAGGGTTTGAATGCATTCCTGTGACTCCTTGTCAAGTTGACTCTGACCCAGCTCTGCCTTTGCCTGGGCAGCATGGTGGCTGCGTTGTAACTTCAAAGCGATGCTTGGTGAAAGCAGACTCTCATCTGCTGTCACCGCAGTTCCTTGCTGGGCACGTGCTTTGGGGTAGCTTTCTGGTATTTTTCTCCTTTAACTTTTCTTTATCTGTTAATTTTTAGGAAATTGTAAATATTTACCCATCCATCAACCCTCCAACTTTGACAGCCCATCAGTCCAACAGAGTCTGCAATGCTTTAGCTCTGCTACAGTGTGTTGCTTCACACCCTGAAACCAGGTAAGCATTTCCAAATGTGTGAGTTTTCAGAGGTGTTGATGTTGACAGCTCAGCCTGTGTGTTTGACTCCAGAAGTACATAAGCTCCTTTCTCTTTTACTTACAGAAGTGAAACAGACCATAAAGCTGGTAGATAGACAGCTACCTGCTGCTTTCACTTGTTTGTATGGATTATCAGGATGCAGCTTTATGGTGGTCCTAAACGAATTGCATCCCTTGGATCATCCTAAGGTTTTGCAAATTTCCAAAACATTCCGTTGTGGCAGCTCTTGGAAGGTCAGCCAGAGCTAAGGGCACCTTTATGTTGAGTGCTGTGTGCAGGATCCTTGTTTTAATGAGCTTACATCTATTTAGACAAGCAGCTTACAGTTATTTAGACCAGCTGTTGAAAGGGTGGAATGGGCAGGACTGTCCTTCCCAGAGACTGTGTGAGGTAAGGGAGCAGTAGCAGAGCCATTTCTGGAGTCCTCAGCCAATGTCTGACTTCAGATTTTCTCAGTCTGTGCCCAGCCAGTGTCAGCAGGGGAAAATATAATGTTGGTTCAGCCAAAATCAGTAGCTAATACTACCCAGAGATCCATAATCTCATGCTTCTGTTCCTGCTGAGCAGCAGCATAGCTGAAGTTGTTTTCGAGCTGCTGCAAAGCACTGTTACACAGCAACCCTCCATGAGATAACCAAATAAATAGGGTAGTTTTACAGTACTCACCTTTACATTTAAAATTTGAACACTGAAAATGGAAGAAGTATGTTGGATGATCGTGCAAGAGAGCTTCCCTCTGCTAGCAGAGCAATCTCCAGGTTTCTCCCTGCAGTCTGTATTTTTCACTACTGCCAGAAGACAGCGTGAGGGCTCTTGGGGAAAAGGTGTCTGTGCGCATTTAAACTGTGGTGATGCCTAGAGTTAGCCACTCTGTATTTCTGTCATGCATTGAGGATGACTGTCCTTGCCACTGAGAGCCTGCAGAGTGAAATGTGACAGTGAATGTACAAAGCAGAGGGTCTGGGTAGCAGGAAGAGGTAATATAAAAACAACAGGGCGTGCTCTGTTCCTGGTCAGCTGGAAGCAGCAATGCAGGCAACTGACAGATCAGGTGCTCTGATCAGGTTTTGTGCTGCGCCGAGTGCAGAATTTACTTCATGCCTTTCTATCAGAGATAGAACTGTTACACACTTTTAAGGAGCAGCAGCAATGCTGTCCAGCAGCCTAAAGCTCTGTGTGGCAGTGCTGGATTGTATGCTCACTTTGCTTTCCTTGTTGCTCACATTGTGTGTTCTCCCTTTCCCACAGGTCAGCTTTTCTGGCAGCTCATATCCCTCTCTTCCTGTACCCCTTCCTGCACACGGTCAGCAAGACACGTCCATTTGAGTACCTGCGGCTCACAAGCCTTGGAGTGATTGGTAAGCAACCAGACTAATGCTGGAGCAGTGGTCTCCTGTTGAGTTAGAGCAGTTCATGCTGTGGGAAAAGAGACCTGCATGACAAAGTCAGAGGTCTCTTTATATTGAGATCTTCTGAGTCCTGTAGTGTTAAGAGGAGCAGCTGTTCCTTTTCCATCAGTTGTGGAGGCAATTCCACTAAGTTCCTTTTAGTGTGTAGGAACTGGGCTTTTCACTTACAAAAAAAACCCATTGAAGACTAAATGCAAAAATATGTTTCTGTGAGTATAAGCACCTGCAGACTTGTCTTGCCTTCACCCTCAACCCTCCCAGCTAGACATTGGGAGAGGTGGGTGCAGACTGGGTTTTCTTTGGGTTTCTGTCATTTATTGACTTAGGTGTATTTGCCCTGTCTTCCCCTTATCCTGTTTTTTTCTTTCTTCTCTCTACCCCAAACCTTTCTCTCTCAATGCTTGGAGTAAGAGTGTTTCAAAATGCATTTCTTCCTCCCAGAGGTTGCTGTGAGTGGCATGATCCTCTTGCCTTTGTGTTACTGCTGAGGGAGAACCAAGAGTGTATCCCCTTTCTGAAAAACAAACAACCCCCAAACCCAACTTGATTACTTTTAGGCTGCCAAAATGATTTCTTCTCCAGCCATGTGCTGCAGCATATTTAGGATAACAGTTGCTCTGCCTGCCGTTCAGACTGAATGGTTCCTGGGAATGGCAGAGCCCAAGCCCTCTTTGAAAGGTGAGATTTTTTGAAACAATTTATTGTTTATTGATTTTTGTGTTTTGTTTTTCCTTCAAGGTGCCTTGGTGAAAACTGACGAGCAAGAAGTGATAAATTTCTTATTGACAACAGAAATTATCCCCCTGTGCTTACGCATTATGGAGTCTGGCAGTGAACTCTCCAAAACGGTACCTAATTTTTTTGTCTTAATAAAGACTTTCTGTTGTTCATCTCTGACTGACCAGGAGCAGGTACCCTGCAGAGATGGCTTTTGTCCTGTTGGAAATACTGGGACAAGTCTGAGTGGAGTTTTTACCTTCTCAAAAACCAAACAAACCAAAACCTGAGGCTGCTCTTGAGTGGCCCAGCAGTAGTTGCTGTCTTATGCAACCTGCATCCAGTCATTTTGTACACTCTGATTTGTTTACATCTCTTTTCTTTAGACAGATGCCAAGCATTGTGTACTGTCCTGCATTTTCTTTTGGCTTTTAATTTTCACTGAATAAAGCATTTGCTGCCTACTGAAAGGCCTTTCAGCTCTAGGGATGCCTTGAAAAGAGCACCACGCAAAGGCTGCCCCTTTTCAGGGTAGATAAGTTGTTTATAGGCTTTGTTTTCTGCTTTCTCCCCTTTCTAGGTTGCTACATTTATTCTTCAGAAAATCCTCCTGGATGACACAGGGCTGGCATACATCTGTCAGACTTATGAGCGGTTTTCCCATGTTGCCATGATACTGGTAAGATCATTTGTTTTTAAAATATTTTTTTTTGTATTTAAAAAAGACAGAATTACACTGTAGCAGCCAGCTTCTTCAACAGCAACTTTACTGCTGTCTGGCTAGAGCACAGGATGAGGGAGGCAAATCGTTCTTGGGCTAATTGCTAGTGACGCTGTAGCTCTCTGCTTCCATGTTTCCTCTGGATTTCTCTTGTTTTGGATATCAAGAGAACACATACTGAGTCCTCAAGATAAAACAGGTAAACCTCTTCAGAGAGGGAAAAGAGTTTTCAGAGTTGATGGTGGAATGTGAATTGATTTAATTTTGTGTAAGAATGATCACAAAGTTCAGATCATGAATCCACATCCCATTTCTGTCTCCCACAACAGGCTGAAAGAGCAGCAGGTTGAGTGAAGGAGTAGGAGCAGGGCAAGTCTATGATACTTGTTCTCATAACAGTCTCACAGCTGTCAGCTACTTTGAGCTTTGGATTTCTGGGGCCAGTTGTGGGTTTTCTGTGCTGTAAACACCAGTGTTCCTATCCTTGAACCCATAGAAACATTCTGCATCCACAGTGTCTTTGACCAAGGAGTTTCACAAGTTTCCTGTTTGCTGCCTGGAATGCCACTCTCCTTTTTTTCCTTTTTGAATCTGGCTCCTACTGGCTGCTGCATATGCTCTAATTTTTGTGTTGGAGCACAGAGAGAGCAGACAATTTCTGTCCATTCCCTGTTTCCTGTAATGGACAAGTTTGGGTACTATAATTTTTTCATCCCAGAAGTAATAGCCCCAGCTTGAGCTTTATCTTTGAGCTCACCAAGGGGAACACATGCTTGCCCTGGAATAGTTATTGCCATGCTTTTGTGTGCATTTGTTTGCTTTTTAAAGAGCAGTCTCAGGAGAAGAAAATGCAGCAGTAAGTTAAGCACTTAGCAATGCTGGTTCTCTGACTAAATGCTGTGCTTTCATTAGGAACATTTATTTGTCTGTTTTTGCAAATATAAAGAAAACGTTACCTCCTAATTGATCCACAAACAGGAAAATATGAATGATTGTGAGCTGATGTCCATAATGTTTAATGTGACATGATTTTTGCATTCAAGAAAAAAATCAGCTTTGATGGAAGTATATCTGGCTCGGTGACAAAGTGAAGGATGTAATTAGAAACCCTGGGATAGGGGAAGGAAGGAGACCATACCATTCCCAAACATGAATTGTTCCTTGAACACAGAAGGATGTGGGTGTGTTAGCATGGAAGAAGTCCTAGCTGTGGTATAGTCCCATCACTGGGTGAAGCACTGACAGGATCAATATTCCACAGTGCTTTCAAAAATCAGTTTAGTGTACCTCCTATCTCGTGAGAGTGATGATTTACTTCCGTGTCTGCTGGTAACTGAGTAAGATTTTACACAAGTATTAGATGCTTTTAAAAGAGGAAGTTAGTATTTTCCATCCAGGAGCTGTCAGAGGAGTTTGCAATTCTTCATTTTGAAGAAATATTGGTATCCTGGGGAATTGCTGAGAACAGGAAGCTTACAAAAGGGCAGATGAGGGGGACCTGCTAATTGCTAACTGCCTGGATATCCAAATACAGGTGACTTTGGCTAATGAGGAAAATGGTTAGCACTAGCCAAGGTAGTTTACAGGAAAAAGCCCAACTTGTTGGGCAGATTTGATTGACTCCTGAAGTCAGTACAAGTAAGCAGTCTGTTAAATTCCTTCAGAGCAGGCATGTGAAGGCAGCTGCACTGTTTGCTTGACTGGGCGTGTTCAAAGGTGCAGCCATGTGCAAAGTCCTACTTAGTGTGAGGAATGGAAGCTGGGCCGGGGAGATTTGCCCTGGCCTTGCCTCCCTGGAACGGCTTTATGAGGGATGTAGCAGAAAGAGAGAATACAACTCTTGGGTGCATGCTAAGACCAGATGTGGATCTTGTGCTACATGTGGTGTGGGTTAGCTCAGTCTTTTGGCATGGCTTCCCAGACTATTGCTAATAAACTTAAAACACTCTTAAAAGGGTGTTGAAATGAAGGGAATGCAGATGAGAATAGGGAGTGTTGCAGAGCTTGGGAACACACCTCATGGGGTGACTCAGCCTGAGCTTATCAAAGTGTTTGGAATGTGTCTGTCTTCCACAAGTGGTGGAAACCCCAGGTTCTCTTTAATCTCACAAAGAGCTGGACCACTAAGCAGTCCTGGGAAGGTAAAAACCAAACAGAGATGAGACGAGCTTTCCCCAAGCTGCTGGGAGAACCCTTTCCAAGTCGTACCTTCTTCTCAAAGGCACGTTGGCAAGCAGTGCTAGGCTCCATGCAGGGGTATCCAGATGAAAGTTAATGGGCTGTGCTGTGTGGGAAGCCAGAGTGAGTGATCTAATGGCCTTTCCCAGTCTCTGCTGATTGTGAAGCTGTTCTTATAAAGACTTTAACTGGTGGCACTGGCCTCTGTCAAACAGGGTAAAATGGTCCTGCAGCTCTCCAAGGAGCCATCGGCACGGCTGCTGAAACATGTCGTCCGCTGCTACCTTCGCCTTTCCGATAACCCCAGGTAAACATTTTAGGAGTCTGGGCAGGGGCTTCTCCATTGGAACCACAGTTCTTTTCCACAGTGCCCACTTAAGTGGGAATCAAAGTCCCTGGTCTGCCAGCCTTAGCTCATTGTAGAAGATAGGTGGGTTTTTTTGCTTTGATATTTTTATTGCTAATCCCAGGACCATTTATGGTACATGGGAGAAACAGAGACTGTTTAGGACTTGTGCAAATTCAATCTGTGCAGTTCACAACTGCCTGGGCTCAAATGTAGATTGAACAACGTACAGGGGAGGGCCTGAGGTGGAAGGCCCCTTCTGCATCAAACGAGCTGTTAGCAGTAGAAGCCAACAGATGAAATTCAGTTGAGAGAATACAAACTGATCTCCTGCTGACCAGCAGCTCTGCCCAAAGCTGCTGGGTGTGCATTTGTTGCCTTGGCATCTCCTGGCATTGCATCACTTGACTGACAGGTGTCAGAGTACAGGGGCTGGCTTGTTGGGTTTTAGCATGAGGAGTGGGAGCTGCACTGGCTGGCTGAGTGCCACATGCTGCGGTGCTGCTGCTCAGTGCTTTCCTTGGCTGGCTCTGCCAGGGAGACCTCCAGGCAAAGGAATGCTCTGTCCCCAGTGGGGTTTGCTCCCCCCTTGCCCCTGTGAGTTTATTTGTTGGGCCCCGTTTCTTGTCTCTTGATGTAGGGCACGTGAAGCTCTCAGGCAGTGCCTTCCTGACCAGCTGAAGGACACCACCTTCGCCCAGGTCCTGAAGGATGACACCACCACAAAGCGCTGGCTGGCTCAGCTCGTCAAGAACCTGCAAGAGGGTCAAGTCACTGACCCACGGGGCATCCCTCTTCCTCCGCAATGACTGCTGGGGGAGGTGGGGAACTGGGGAAGAAACAGCTCAGGTTTACAAAGAACCAGGAACAGGTGACCTCTTCCGCAACAAACTGGGCACGCCAGCTGGCTGCCAGCCTGTCGGACCATCCCACCCAGCCAAAGGGCTGCTCTGTAGCAGCAACGCCTCCAGGGATCCCAACACCAGCAAATGCTGATACTACAGCTTAAAAAAAAAAAAGGTCAATAAAAACCATCTGTAGAGATCCCAGTCCCTCCAGGAGGCGTGGGTGGCATCCCTGCCCCCACCTCCAGGCAGGGGGTAGTGCAGATGTCCACTCTTCCAGCAAGCTCAGCCTCCGCCCAAGTGGTGCACAACTCTGGGTGTGTGCACCACATCCCTCCAATTCCTTGTCACTTCTTGTTTACACGTCTTGTTTAGATGAGTGAACTGAATAAAAGCCGATCCAGTTATTTTATCCCCTCTTAATACTACTACTCAGCTGCAGGTAGCTCAGGCACAGCTTTTTTCCCTGCCAGCACGTCCTTGCTCCTGGCTCTGCATCCAGCTGGCACAGTAAGCTTCTTTCTTCCTTTCCTTTGGCGCAGAGGCAGTGGCTGGAGCCGGGCCCCTGCGTGCTTGCCCCAAGAGGAGGGGTGGATTACATGCAATGAATCCATGCATCATAAGCTTGCTTCCCAGGGCTCTGGGGAAGGAGAAGACAGCAGGACTGGCTCTTGTGCTGTAAATAGTGCACTTCTGCAGCTGACCAGCAGCCTGGGGCTGATGTGTGCTGGCCTCTCATCTAGTCCTGGGAGGGCTGCTGGCTGGCTCAGCAAATGGAGCTCAGCGTGACACCTGCCTTGAGGTGGTGGGCAGGCCACCAACTGATGATCCCCTGCTGCCTGCAGGCTCCAGGTATGCCACATCCCGCACCGCTGCTGCCCGCCAGGCGCCCCTCAGTCCTGCCCCTCCTCCCTTCCCTCCCCTTCTGCTCCTCTCTGCCAGTCGGGTGCATCCATTTCAGCTTTCAAACCCGCCTTGGCGTCTGCCTTGGCCCCACTGCAATTAAACTGGACCAGCAGCCGCTTACCTGCCTTTCCTGTGCCGAGGGGTTAATGCGGCCGCAGAGGGCTCTCAGAAGCAGCCGTGGAGCTCCTAGGCTCTGCTGCAGCAGAGTCTGCTCTGCCTGCTCTTGGCTGCAGGCAAGCCTGGGCAGCTACTTAATTTCTCCCCCGTCCTCGAGTAGCCCATTTTGCTGATCATCTGCAGTGTCGTGCCAACAGTGTCTTAAATCCCATCGTTTCCCTTCTCTCCTCCCCTCACAGCCTTGCATAACAAGGGCAGAGCACGGCCTCTTCCTTGCCCTCGGGTTCCTGTTTTATAACCATTGCCTTCTTTTCCCTCCTTTTCACCCTGACCTTGACAGAGTGTTAAAATGCTTCTGTTTGGTTGATTGTTTTTTGTTTGGTTTTTTTTAAGTTCAGATTAATAAATAATAAAACCCCAGCCAGCACAGATTCCTTCCTGGTCTGGTCTCTCAGGGAGGGCAAGTGGTGAGTGGGGATTTATTGCAGGTGGGAGGAAGGCGGGGGTTGTGCCAGCATGGGGGTGTGATTGGGAAGAGTGGTCTTTCCCAGTGGGAGTTGACTACATCCCTATAGCACCCCATCTCTCCTGGAGCAGGTAATGTGGAGGGTTTGGGGGGGGATGCTGTTTTGTTCTGCAGGAGGGCAGTGAACCTGCCAGGGAGGGAGCATTCGCTGCCTTCCTGCAGTGTGTTTGCGAGTGCTGCCACTCGCCCAGGGTCCCGGTCTGTTACAGCATTGCCTACCCAAAAGTTTAGTCTCTGCTCTGCACCCCTTGCCCCCAGTTTGACCTGCCCTGCCCCAAGGCTGCCCCTGCTTGTATCCTCATGGGAATTTTTGCCCCAGGATGCTCAAACTACGCCTTGCTTTTTGAGTCCTACATCCCTCCCAGCAGGAGGGTTCCGGGAGCGCCCGTGGACCATCGTGTCCTGGAAAGGACAGAAACACAATGAGGACGCGCTGTGGAGGGGGAGATCGGGCTGTGCGGGGTGCACGCGGGTCTAAGGACGGACAGCCTCTGTCGGAGGATGGGAATGGGGGCTCGACCCCAAACGGCGGGCAATGCAGGGTGCTCCCACCCCTGCCGGCCACACCACTGCCTTCTTTACCCGCCCCCCCGTCCTCCTCAGAAGCGGCGTGACCTTAATCCGAAGCGACCTTGAGAGGCGACGGCTGCAGGGCGTGCGGGGGCCGGGGGCGTCCCGCGGGGCGGGGGGCCGGGAGCGGACTCACCGCCCAGGCGCTGCCAAGGGGCGGGCAGCCCGGGCAGCCCCGGCCCCGTGCGGCCGCCGGCGGTGAAGCACCCGCGGAGCGGAGCGGCACCGGAGAGCGGGTACGGGGCTGGGCGCCCGGTCCTCCGCGCGGGAGCCGGGCGTCCTGCGGAGGGAGGGGGCGATGGGTACGGGGCTGCGACCCCCAGGCTCTGGGACCCCCTGGCTCGGGCTGCGCTGCCCCAGAAACGGCTGCATGGTCGGGGTGGCGCGGGGCGGCAGGAGAAGTGCCGGCGGTTTTGTCTTCTTTGCCTTAAAGTGTGATTTGTCCCCTCGAGCCCTGGGGGTTTGCTGCCCCACCCCGAAGCCCCTTATCCGTCCCCCCCCTCGCTTCCCAGCCCCTCTGACCCGTCAGCTGCCGGCTGGTTCCTCTGCGTGGATCAGGCTCCGTGCACCTGTGCTGCGCCGTGTCCCGGAGCGGGTGGGCTGAGCAAAGCCTCGGAACACGGGCAGTTTGTGGGCACACTGGGGCAACAAGGTGTGGAGGGTGCCTGGAGCGAGGGGGTATTTCTCCCTTCTCTGGCAAGGCCACCCCTCTGGTGGCCAGGGGGACAATTTAATTCTGCCAGGGGACTTCACACTGGGGTGGCCGGGGAGTGCTCAGACCCACTGTGCCTCCAGCTCTGCTACGGCCTGTCACTAGCAGGAGAAAAGCTGCGGTGGCTCAGCGTGTGCTGGGGTAGCTAGGGCTGTTTCTGGCAGCAGGCAGCCGCCCTGCAGGAAACTCTCGGATTAGGTTTCTCCATACCCTGGCTCCCGTCCCGCTTGGCCCGATAGCGTAACTCAGACTGGGGCAAGGGGGCCTGCATGGGGCCAGTCTATGCCAGGCTTGGGGCATCTCTCACACAACGGGAAAGAGCAGAACAGTTGTGTCTGTGCATCCACGTTCCTTATGCTGGAAGGGTTCATCACTTCTTTGCTGCACGTGTGGGGAAGGCACTGCTCCCTGGTTGGGACTGGGCATGCTTAGACTGTGCCGGGAGCCTGGAAGGGATAAGAGGATAAGAGCAGTTTATCTCCAAACTCTCTGCATGGTTCTGGGCCTGAAGGCTGCAAGCTGCTCCCTTGCATGCTGCATGTGCATGTGCAAAGCAGACAGACCTGTTGGCGACACCGAGCCCATCTCTGTTCCAGTCCAGCATCTCTCCCTGCTTCTCCAGCCTCAGTGTCTCTCCCTCCACCCCAGCTTCCCCAAAACATCCCCCTCTCCCTCTTCTGCTGCAGCACAGGGGCTGCAGGACAGGTGGGCACCTGGAGCTGAGGCCCTGCAAAGGTGGCTGTGCCAGGCTGGGTGCTGCCAGGAGACAGGAGGGTACAGGCAGATGGGTGACCGAGGTTGTCCCCCCTGGCTCCCTGCAGGCCACGGGTTGCAGAGGCTGAGAGCGTGCCAGTGGAGGGCTGGGTGTGGAGCACTCCTGGAGCTGTGCTACACAGCATCAGGGCACCTACTCTGCAAGGCACAAGAGGAGCATGATGCCACCCCCCCATTTGTGGGTGCAGGCACTCCAAGTCCTGGGTCAGTGGGTCAGTGCCCCCCAGCACATCGGATGGTGGGAACATGGGCACTGCAGCAAGTACTTGCAGTCTGAGCCCTGCAAGAAGGGCCAGTGCTGGGCACACACAGCCCCAGCACTGGGCACTGCTGGGATGGCACCCCAGCTGCTTCATGTCTCCAGCAACATCTGAGGTCCCCAAGAGTGTAGACAGACAGTCCCCATGTGCCCTGGTGACAGCCAAACAGCCACTGCCAGCCCCACAGCTAGTGTGTCCCTCAGGAGTGGGGCCTCAGCCCTGGCCAGCACTGTGCTGGGGATCTGCTCTGCTCTCACCACACTGAGCAGGGGATGGCTGCCGTCTGACCCTGGAGCCCACAAGGGTCTGGCAGCTGGGCTTGGCAGCTGCCTGCAGGCTGACGGCACCAGCTATTCCTAGCCCCACACCGCTGGTGCCTATGCTGAGTCAGGGGCCTGGGTGATGGCTGCCACTCCTGCACCCTGGCACAGAGCCCTTGCCCCCAGGGACTTCCTGCATCCAAATCACAGCCCACTAGCTGCAGCATCCACTCCTCGAGGGCCCAACTCCAGCACCTGGGTCACGGGCACATCCAGCAGTTTGTCAGTCTAATTAAAGTATCAACAGCCTAATCAAAGCCGTATTGTTCCATGGTATTTATAGTCCCACTCGCCGCAGTGCGCTTCCCGTACAGCTGTGGGTGCAGTCACAGCCCAAGGTGCTGGTGTTCCCTGGGGACAAGAGGCTGCAGGAGCTGAGGGTCATTCCTCTGTGCCCCCTTCCTTGCTATCACGGCTGTGCCTCTCCCTTACTTTCAAATCTGCTGGTTGGGGTCATGTCCTAGGTAGTGGGGGCTGTTCTTGGGCACCCCCAGAGCAGTTTTTCCTGGCTCTAGGGGCCACTTCTTCCCTGGGAGTAGTGACCTGAGAGCAGTAGGGCTCTGGTACCTGCTGGGCTGTGGAGCGTCTGCTCTCACAAGTTTTTCTGTTTTCCACCAACACCTTTTGAGCTCCGGCTTGCCGGTAACAGAGATTAATATTTCATGAGTACGGCGGGGTGAACTCGACACTTAAGGAAGGCAATGACCCAGCAGGAGACAGGCGCAGGTGCGCTCACACATGGGCAGGGGCACACACAGCTTGCACACACATGGGTACGCCCGGACCCCCCTCGGCAGGACCTGGGCACAGCGGGGGGGACTGTCCCTGCTCCCCCCAGCCACCTTCTCTCTTTCCTCCTCAGCGGCTGTCAGCGTGGAGAAGGCAGAGCCATGGCATCGCTGCTGTGCAACGCCCGTGAGTGCCGCGGTGGAGGCGAGGGGCAGGGCAGGGCATTGGGCCATCCGTACTTATGCCAGGGCAAATCTGGCCTGTGGGTTGAGCTTACCTTGCTACACTCAGGAGCATACCTACCTCACCATGGCCATTGGGATTTGGGCTTGGCAATGCCAAGGGTGGATGGGAAGGATTAATGGGGAACTACCTTCTGCCCATCTTGTGGTGAAGGGAGTTTGTTTGGGCTCCACCCCTCCTCCCTCACAGATCAAGGGACCACATGGGGTTCCAGAGGCAAAATGAAGCAAGATATCAGGCAGGGCACAGTGCCTGGATAGCCCCACTTTTAGTGATGCAGCCCATGCTGCCCCCAGGCATCCAGCTCACAGACACACTGGAGCAGATGCAGCAAGGGACCCTGATGCGCAAAGTCAAGTCCAAGAGCTGGAAGAAGCAGCGTTTCTTCAAGCTGCAGGATGACTGCATGACCATCTGGTACCAGTCCAAGAGGACAGGCAAAACAGAGTCTGCCTGTGAGTACTGGCTTCTGTGTGTTGGCCACAGGGCCGTTAGTAGGGTTTACAGGAATGTGAAGGTATGGAGATTCTTGAAACCATTCTTACTAAGAGTACTGGGGCATTCAAGAAAGGCTATGCATGCATATGTGGTCTCTTCTCACCCACACGTCTCCTTGAAACATCCTGCCTCCAGCAGGATTCATGGGTCAAAAGGGATGAGTAGAAATTGCAGCTGATACAAGTGGAACCTCTGGAATGCCAGCGCAGGAGCAGACAGACAGAGGGGCTGATGGCAGTGATTGACTGGATAGCTCAATGGTTAATGGATGGATGAGTAGCTCAGTGGGTGGATGAATGGAGGGATGAGTGGAAGAAAGGATGTCTGGAAGAATAGGTGTCTGTGGGCAGTGCCCCTTGCCCTGTGGTCCTTGTCCCCCACAGACAGGCGTCCCCTCCCTCTGCCCCAGTCTCCATCAGCGATGTGGAGACGGTGCGGGAAGGGCACCAGTCGGAGGTGCTGCAGAGCCTGGCCGAGGAATTCCCCCCCTGAGCGCTGCTTCACCATTGTCTTCTACGGCCGTCGTGGCAACCTGGACCTCATTGCCGGCTCGGCCGAAGAGGCGCAGTGCTGGGTCCAGGGCCTGCGTCAGCTCATCGAGGTGGCCACCACCATGGACCAAAGGGAGAAGATAGACCAATATCCTTCCTGCAAGCATCACTCTGCCTCCCCCCACCCAGTCATTCTCCCACTGCAGATCATTCCCCAGGCCCTGCATCTTCAACCTTGTCCCAGCATGTGTGTAGCTGTTCTGAGTCTCACCACTGCATCAGTGCAGGACGCAGAAAAAGGAAAAG